ACCAAAATAGCTTCAAAGCAATTTGGCTTTAAAACCCACGGCAAGAAAAATGATCTTGCAGTTTGTAACAAATAAACAAATCATAGATAGATTGCAAAACAAGTTTTGTGTGGTAGTCGAACACACTGGCTTCATTAAACATACCTTGAACGAACCAAATGGTTTAAAATTAATGGCCCATTTTAAATTTTATCGAAAAAAATATAGAAGCGTTTTGTTATTCCCACTTATAAAACATATAATTGCAGATATCTAAATATCCAACAAGGTGTGTAGTTAAAAGGGAGCATCTGCATTGCTTAACCAGCTGTTGCTGATTGAAAAGGAGCGAGGCTCCAACAAAAGGGCTGTCAGCTGAAATAATGAAAGGGAACATGTAACTCTGTAACTCTGTGGTAAAACATGTTGTTGTTCCCAGTCAGCTGTGACCAAACTTTGTAGCAAATACAAACAAATTGGTAAGGTTATAAAAGGAAGACATATGGGTAAGATGTAAACTTACCCATATGTCTTACCCATAAAGCAATACGCCTTTAAAATATAAAATGTAGACACTGGAGTTGTTGTAAGAAATGAGTCAAATTTGCACCAGTATCAAAACGCGGACGAAAATGAGGCTAGAGTGGGATAACGAGGGGCAATCCTTAACTATGGATGTTTGAATGAAAGTGATGTTTGCTGATAAATCTGCAACTTTTGTCTGGCGTTGTTCTAATGTTGTGACATGTCAGGTAAAAGACCAGCAGAGAAGGCATTTATTATTAGTAAATGAACAGGTCTACACTGAAACCTTGGGCACTTTTCTCATTCCTCCGATTGAAAGTGGCTTTGATGATGATGAAGTCACGATAATGAAGATTTTCACCGAGCAAAGACTGTTAAAGCTTTCCTCCAGGAGAGACTCAGTAATTCAGTGATGTGGCCAGAAAAAAAAAGTATGGTTGAAATTTAAAACAGTGATTTAGAACAAGGCTCCATTCTGCAAGGCTGTTTGATTTTTTTATGGTTCCTTTTTATTTGCACCCTCAGCATTAAGGATTATATCATTTTTTACTGTCTACTTGGTCTTAGAGAGCAACATGCCATTATATTAACATCATTTCAAGGTATGTTTTACAAAGGCAGAATTTTCAGCTAATAAACAGAAATAGTTTTGTGTCATATGTGTGATTTATTTATGTGCTTAAAACTGGAAAAAGGAAAAAAAAAAAGGCTGAATGAACTTCCTGTAAGTGTCTTCCAGTCCTATGGCTTAAAAGTCTCTGGATGTTTGGTTACGTTGGAACCTTGGTTCTCTAAATAAGAGACCTAATGCAGCTTGTTCCATTCAAACTGTCACTCTCCATACATACTAGATATGAAGAAGTACTGATGCAATAGAGAACACCATCTTCCCTCCTTTGGTGGTCCACTCACTCCCTTCTGGTTGCAGCTGTTGTTGAATTTTGCACTATTCAATTTTATTTATATAGCATCAAATCACAACATTAAGTAAAAGGTGGAAGCCCTTCAGAACAGATTTCCAAGTTCTATTAAAATATATATTTCTTTATTAAAATAAAAAGTTTGGACACGCCTTGTCATTCAATGTTTTTTCTTTATTTTCATGACTATTTACATTGTACATTGTCACTGAAGGCATCAAAACTATGAATGAACACATATGGAATTATGTAGTAAACAAAAAAGTGTGAAATAACTCAAAACACGTTTTATAGTTTAGATTCTTAAAACTATCCACCCTTCGATCACTGCTGTGCACGCTCTCGGCATTCCCTCGATGGGCTTCATGAGGTTTGTCACCTGAAGTGGTTTTCCAAGTCTTGATGGAGTTCCCAGAGATGATGAGCACTTGTTGTTCACTTTGCCTTCACTCTGCGATCCATCTCATCCCAAACCATCTCGATTGGTTTTAGGTCTGGTGACTCTGGAGGCCAGGCCATTCGGCAGCACTCGTCTTGGGCAAATAGCCCTTAAACAGCCTAGAGGTGTGTTTGGGGTCATTGTCCTGTTAAAAAATAAATGATGGTCCAACTAAACGCAAACCGGATGGGATGGCATGTCGCTGCAGGATGCTGTGGTAGCCATGCTGGTTCAGTGTGCCTTCAATTTGGAATAAATCCCCAACAGTGTCACCAGCAAAGCAGCATCCATCACACCACTTCCTCCATGCTTCACAGTGGGAATCATGCATGTAGAGATCATCCGTTCACTTTTTCTGCGTCGCTCAAAGACATGATAGGCAAAACCAAACATCTCAGATTTTGACTCATTAGACCAAAGCACAGACTTCCACTGGTCTAATGTCCATTGCTTGTGTTTCTGGGCCACAAACAAATCTCTTCTGCTTGTTGCTTTTCCTTAGTTGTGGTTTCTTAGCAGCTATTTGACCATAAAGGCCTCATTCGCTGTCTCCTCTGAACAGTTGATGTAGAGATGTGTCTGCTACTGGAACTCTGTGTGGCATTTATCTGGGCTCTAATCTGAGGTGCTGTTAACTTGATTTCAATTTTTTCTCTGCTACATTATCATAAATCTTGCTTCATATACTTGATGTCTTCAGTACGTACCTACAATGTAGAAATGTGCTACACACTGCTAATATATTTATTAGCAGTGTGGAAGGACGTCTTAGTAGATGATTTACTTCCATTTAGATTTATCTTCAAACAATACATTTAATTCACTAAAACGAATAAAAATAAAACACGCTACGCACATTAAACTGTTTCAAACAGCATTTATTGTTGTGTGAGAAAATATTGTCTCGGGCAGATTATAGATCTTGCAATACAATTTAAATGACAAGATCAAAAATCTCCTGTGCCACCAAGGGAAAAAAACGAACAAAACTTGCAGGCAGGTGCAGCAGCTTCTGCCCACAGAGTTAAGGTCTTGTGCCTCTTCGCTTTTAGAGAATATGTTCCATGTTCCACATGTTGGCGAATACCATCACTGTTACAAAGAGCTACGTAGCATCATACATAAATCTTTTCAATATTTAACTTTTTAAATAACACTCTCAACTGCCACAAATTATAAATTAAAATCTAAACTCGATTTTTGCATTCCTTAAATTACTTCATGTAAGCCGATATAAACATACATTTACATATTTACAAAACTATACACATGCACTTTTACTACACTGAGGTTGTATACATGTATGTATAAGCTGTACACACACACACACACACACACACTCTCACGCACGCACGCACACACACAAGGTTTTGCCACACATATGGCTCCAGGAGTCACCAATCCAATCCTTAAAAGTAACCGTTTGTGCTTTTCAAGTTTCCTCAGCCACATTTGCATTCAAGTGCAAATTCTCGAGTGAGGATCGCAGTAGACTTTTTTCTTTTTGCCCCTCCCTCCCCCACAAACCATCTCACCTCTGTAGTGACTTCACATCTAACTAACCAGGTAGCTGCACCGGGTACGCCGACATTCTCATATCACCGTACAGTTTCACAATATGGAAAAATTAAGTAAACACTCTAAAGTCTCACCAACGACACGTCATAGCTGGACTGAGAGTTTGGGACCTCGGAGCAAATGGAATCACTTGTTCCTTTAATGCTCAATTCAATTTGTTTTTCAAAATATAGTAAAATAAAAAAATATTTTTAGTGCTCGTTTCCAAAGCCTAAGCCTCATCCCTGAAAAAGTTTTTTTTTTTAAAAATCTATTTCAAAAAACTTTTAATTTTGTGCTCAAATATAAAACGCTGTTATAACAGATAAATTCCCTTTATATATATTTTTAATTCAACTCAGGTGACGTGACTCTGAAGTGACCCTTTTCTGGAAGGAGGAGGAAAAAATCTAAATATATATCCAAGAATGACTGGAAGATTACAGGATACAGTGAGAGAGCTCACTGAGACTTCCAACTACCTGCAGCATTCAGGTGTAGCCAGATGCTCAGCAATATCAGTCAGAGAACAAATGATGCATGGTTATCGTGCATGCACCAAGTAATTCCCAGAACTGCTGAATAAACATGAGCACATGAAAAACAAAGTCCTGGAGTCAAATGTTACCAAAAAAAAAAGAAAAAGTTATTTGCACCCCTTCTGATATAGTTTCAATGTGAATGCCTGCAGTAACGGCTTTGATGTAACACCATGAATATTATCCTCCCATGCATTGCTGCTTATCTTGGTCAGAGAAACGAGTCTAAGCAGAGATCCCCCCAACCTCCCACTCCCAGCTGTTCTGAAGGAGACCCTGAGACATTCTTAATCTCTCTCGTGTGTCCAGGTCCTCCTTCCAGTTGGAAGTGGCCTAAACATTTCACAAAAGAGGCATCCAGGAGGCGTCATGACAGATGCCCGAACCACCTCAACTGGCTCCTTTCAATATGAAGAAGCTACTCCGACCTCCTCTGGAATAAAGGAGCTTCTCTCCTTGTTGCTAAGAGAGATCCAAAAACCCCTCGGAGGAAGCTCTTTACCACCACTTGTATCCACAATCTTGATCTCACCACCTGCAGCTTGTGGCTGTAGAAGAGGGCGGGAAAAGAAGGTCCACTGATAAACCGACAGCTTCAGCAACACTGCACCAGTCTATCTCTCTGAATATTAATGGAACAAAACTCATAGTAACTGAACAAACAGAGGATCTGAAGGAGCAGCTTATACATCACCTGCAACATGCAAACAACAACATGCAAATGATATTATTATTGTTATTATAGAGAACTCTTGGAGACAAACCCGTGTCCATAGCTGTCCAAGTCCAGATATGACGTGAATGTTAAGTGGGACTTTCACACTTCAGTATACACAGTGACGTTTCAATGGCAAATACAATCTAAATATATTTTCAATCAAGAAAATCCCATTCACGATTAAATAATTACACTTTTCTCACGAAAGTCTCGACTCACTTTGGCCTAAAATAAAATCTTTATATGAACATGTAGCAACAGTGGTTGTGGAAAACAATTTAAAAAAACCGTACACAAATAAATGAACAAGTAAATCTACAAAAAAGCACTTTTTCCCCTCCTCATTTCAAAAATCAGTTTTAAAAAAACTTTTTATGCAGATAACCTTCAAATACTACACCTATTGGGAAGCGTTTGTTTTACTTTCCCAAATTTTTTAAGAGCATTGAAGAAGCTTTGTACACACAACCAGGCAGCTTATTTAAGATGATAAAATCTTTAAAATTAAATTTTATATAAATTGTATTTTTTAAATTTTATATAAAATTGGAGGGTGTGAAGTTAAGATTTCCTCTCACGTGGTTTAAATGTACCATAGCTCGGTCATAAGCAGTGTGCACAGACTTGCGAACGCTGGGTTTTTTGCCTTCCATTAACCGCAGCTTGTCTACAGTGTCGTCCATTCCCAGCGGCAGTAGTTTGTTACGAGGAAGCCATTGCCTGAAAATGAAGAGGGACATTTTTTTTTTTCATTTTACGTTTTAAATTTAGGTGACAAAGACTAACACTAAAATTCAACATGAGTTTATCCCTGACTGTGTGAATCTCACCAAGTTCTTTTGGTGTCAAAAAAGAGCACTAAGAAGAGCTTCTGGTCTTCCTCCATTTGCCTCCATTCACCAAGTTTGAGCACCTCCAGAGGAGGCACGGGAATGGGTATGCCATTGTGGAGAAGTCCTTCCTGGGGCATGTCAGGATCAACAATCTGTAACAGCAGATTATGTCATATACAGCACATTTAGCAACACAGGAACAAAGTTTATCTAGACCAAGGCTGTCAAACATAAGGCCAGGGGGCAGGAGACTGCCCGACAAAAACTCCAATCATACTACACCCAAGTAATGTGGGGTGGCTGCAGTTTAGGAGGTTACTCCTTCGTGCCATGTGGGTGATTGTTAGACAGAAAGCACTACAGCATAGAAGAAAGTGCTTGTGTAAATGGGAGAGTGGAAAATCACCACATAAGAGTTTAATTTAGTAATAAGTAAACACCATCTACAACCATTTTTATAATGAGTAATGAAACTTGTTTAGGTTGATGGAAAGAGGAGTTTTTTTTGGTCCGGCCCATTAAATATCAAAGTGCATTGTATGCAGCTCGCGATGTAAAATGAGTTTGACATCCCTGATTTAGACCATGGAGTGTAAGATTGAATGTATCCTCACCATTGCCGGATACGACGGATATCCCCTGCATTTGGCCCAGACTAGGTCCAGTGGTGCAAGTTTAGTCTCGCTATCTAAAGACAGAAGTGTAGACTTTCCTGTGAACAGGATATCCCAATACATGCAATTAATTTGTATTCATGACAGATCCTGAGCCCAAACTGAGAATAAAATGAAATGTGTATTTTTTTTATGTGTGTAGGCTCATAAATGACTAATCTAAACAGAAAACAGAGCCATTTCACTGTGTTTTGTCTTCTCGTGATACACACCAGATCCAGAGATGTCTCCGTTCTCGCTGCTAGGAACTTTAGCCAAAGCAGGTTTACCCCGACTGCGTTTGGGAGGGGAGACACTGCAGAGAGGAGTGGAAACCAAAACAAGAAGGACCTTTTTAAATTCAAGTCAAATTTATGGAAAAAAACATGCATGCTTCAGTTCAGCACTAGTTTTTCCTGTCCTACTCATACTCACCTTAGGTTGGAGTCGTCTTCATCGTGTTCTGCAGAGCTGTGCTTTCCATTTGTCAGGCCTAGCAACACCACAAACCACATGGTGACAAATACAGACTTTCTTCCCCCTGTTTTCTTTAGATAATCAAATATCTGTAATGCAGTGATCCATCCGGTCCTTACCTCCTTCTGTGGGCGGAGGAGGGAGTTTGTCTGCCTCACTTTCTGAGCTGTGGCCTCTAGACCTCAGGCGGTGTGAGGAGGGAGAAGGAGGTGCTGGGGAGGCGTTTGGGGTAGGAGGTAATGTGGTGATGTTGTTCACACTGGGTGAATTCGGGCTGGTGGCGGTGCTATCCAACCCGTTGCTTTTAGCCTCAGAGGTTTTACCGTTCTGTTGTGGAAGGGACTTGTTCTTCACCATTCGCGCGCCATTTTTTGCTTTCTTAAACAAAACTGACGTGCGACGACCGACTCCGACCAGAGACAGTGTTGGAGGCGTGCCCAGTGGCGTGACCTCATGAACAGCATCTGGTTCCGAAGAAGGCGTTTCTCCGACTTCAGCCTCATCTTCGCCTTGGCTTTTGCTTCCACTCCGGGAGGACCTCTGACGTCTGTAGGAACGTCCGGGTGACCTTCGTCCTCCCGTTACAATGCCCAGGACAGGGGGCTCCAGGGGAGCATCGCCTGGCAGCGGTGATGATACTGGGCAGGTAAGCTCTAGCACAGGTGGAGAGTCATCTGGGTAAAAGAGAATTTTTTTTTTCATCTTACAAGTAATTCATCACCTAAAATCTTCACTGGATGCAGATTTTCCAGTGTGAGAATTTAACTTTGCTAAATTAAAACTGAAAAAAAGCCAGAAATTAGACTCTATGAATTTTATTAAAAAAACAATAATAAGTAATAGTAATTATGTATAAACTGCACAATTACTGGCTTAATTACCTGCTTTAGGATTTGACACTGCTGTCAATAGTCCATTCTCCACATTTGTCTTCTCCCTTTTCTTTTCCTTCTTCTTCTCCGCCTCGTCTTCCTCCTCCTCCTCTCCCTCTTCTTCCTTTCCTTCATCCACCTTCTCAATGCCATTCACAGACTGAGCACTTTGCTGCTGGTTCATCTTCTGCCTCAGAGTGTTGATCTCTCGGCGCAGCAGCCTAATGCGCTTGGTGCGGCCGCCGCTGGTACGCATGGATGCGACCACATCCAGTTTATCCAGTAAGGCCTTTAGTTGCTCCTCTGTGGTTAAGTGCAGTCTGTTCTCTGGGTCCAACAGAGAGTCAACTACAGAGATTACAACCACAAAAACAAGAAGGAGGAAAGAAAAAAAAAGCCAGATGAACAAATGAAGCCTGAGGGTTACATCCAAGAAAAGATGTGATCTATGTCCCGTGCTCAACTCACCATCATCCCATGTACAGTTGTAGAAGCCATGTTTGTTTGGAGCCTCTGGCAGGTGCATGCCTGTACTGGGGTCCAGGCCGATGCTCTGAGACTGCCTGTGGGCGTGGCGGAGAACGGCACCTCCCACCTCCCGCAGTTGTAAGGCTGCTCTGTGGAACATGGTGTCCTTGGAGTTGTACTTGAGGCAGTTCGAGATCATGAGGTCGAAGTCCTCTTCTAGGTCAGTGATGGAACAGTAGGCATGTCCCTCCAGTTTGGTGCGCATAGTGGAGAAGTCCATGGGTTGGGTAATAAACTCCAGGTAATCTGGGACCTCAGCGAATCACAGAAAAAAGGAATGTCAGCAGAGTCACAGTACAGTCAAAGTAGCCATGCTGCTGAGTGAAGAGTGCATTCAGAACAGGCTGCTGTCTAACTGCACCGACCTCTGACAGATTGACGGGCTGAGAGAAGATTTTGGCTGTGTCCTTCTCTTGTAGTTGCTCCAGGGTGGATCTCAGAAGCACCAGCGCAGGAGTCAACTTCAGCTCAAGAGCAGCCTGCTGAATTTTCATCTGTGTGTGGTGACATAATCACACAGGGGAGAATACAAGGTCACTCTGCGGGGTGCAAAAGAATGACAAATGCTGCGGGGAACAGAAATTCATGCTCCCTTGAACTGTTATGTTAATTTCTCCTCATCAGCTGGTGATTTCTTAAATGAAAACATTTAATGTTTGGTCTATAAACTTGTCTCAGACTTCCTTTTAAACACACCTGCTCTCTCTTTAGCCGCTCCCTCTTGCGGATGAGCTCCACCAAAAGTCGCGCTCTTTCCAGGTCTTGCCTCAACTTTTGCCAGTATCGCAGCTCCTCTCGCGCGGCACTCAGCTTTTCATCAGGCTCCCTCTGAAAATGATAGAAAAAGCTTTAAAAAAAACACCATAATTATTCTTTTTGTCTCTCTTTAGTTCTCTCTGTCCAGATGAACAGCATCAAGTTTTGGGGATCTACTAGGGCTGCACGATTTTGCATAAAATGAGAATCACGATTTTTTGGCTTAGAATTGAGATCACGATTCTCTCACGATTTTCTTTTCCAGTATAAATATTTATTGCACTTATTAACTGCACATCAACTTCGTAACAGTTGAGACTGAACATAAAAACAATAAATAAACATAAAAACAACAAATGTCTCACGTTTTGTTGTTGTACTGCTTGAAATTCCGTCTCCGTTGTTCGACGCTGTGTGTATAGAGCAGGTAGTGCAACAATAGAAAAATAGTTGCGGGACGGCACTGTGTAGCGTTTGTCTAGGGTGTTGATCATTTTCCTAAATCCCTCGTTTTGCACAGTGTTGATGGGAGCCATATCTTTGGTCAGGTGATAAGTGATAGCCTCCGTAATTTCTTTATGCCTGCGGGAGTTCGACGTGTATAGGGAAGCGCTGTATAAGGTTCCTGTTATTGATGTTTGGGTGGTTGACCGGGACGGATTTTCTCCAGTCACTTTCTCGTCATCCCTGACGTGCTCTCCGTTGTTTTTTCCCTGCTAATTTTAGCATCACACGGCACAGCTTCTGTATCACGTGGTATAAGGCTCCGCCCTTGTCATTTGTTGAGCAGGAAGAGTGAGCGCTTGTTTTCATGCAGATTATGTCCCGGATCAAAATGCGGTACAGTCGTCGTTGTCATTTTTCTTTTTTTTTAAAATCGTTGTCATTTGGAAATGAGATCGCAAATAAGTATGAATCGAGATCGCGATTTTCTAACGATTAATTGTGCAGCCCTAGGATCTACACAAGCTGCACATCCAAAGTTGTTATAAAAGTTTAAAAGAAACCAAAAGAACGTGAGTTGAAATAAAGTATATTTACCAACTTAGCAACTGTGAACACATCTCTTATCAGCTGTGTATTGCGTAGGACATCTTTGCCATCTCTGATAATAACTAACGACACATTTTCACAACATTTTACAGGCCATCTCGACACATTACCCAGCAGCAGCAGCAGAACTGTGAAGGATTTTGTGGAAGCTTGCCATATTCAAAATCAGCCACTGCAAAGTGTGATGTCTGGGCTTATGTTGGATTTCAGTGTGTGAGGACGGAGAATAAGGTGTGAAGTGATTTTATTCCCGTGACTTGGCTGATTCTGATCTGAACAGACTCTCTGAAGGCCTCAGACACCAGTTACATCCTCCACAGACAGCAGAATAGAAATATTTCATTTTATTTTGTCATTTATATAATTTAAACACTCAGCTGCATTCATATTGTTTCTGCTGCTATCAGTACAGACACCAGCTTTACAGAAGTGACAGATCTGACTACAGTCACATGGGTCAGCGATGGCAAAACCACAGGTGCTGCGTTTGCAGTCACATGTGTGAATGCTAAAAATGTAGACTGTTTATTTTCATTTGTGCTCAGTCATTTACACACCACTGCAGTGCAGTTATTACTGAACAGTCACTGTTGTGTTATAGGTACATTTGATGACGTCTCTCCTCACCTGCTCTGCAGTCCTGTGGGCCTGTAGGTGGGAATGAAGCCGCCGTATTAAAGGCATCCCATTTCGCGACTGTCGTTTCAGCAACCAGTAGTTATGAAGCCGCTGCATGAACTGGTTCTTTCTCTGGACTTCAGCTCCTGTGCAGATCTTGTTCAGCCTGTTGAGACACAACGTGAGAGTTTATAGATTAAAATACTAGTATTAACATGGATAGTGACATTATGATAAGGCTATCTGTAAAAATCTCTCAGTGACATAGATTAAAATCAGACAGCAGATGGTAAACTATGGAAATTTGTACAGTATGCAAATGACACACCTGTGCGACGGGATCTGAGGCACCAGCAGCACAGGAATATTGGAGCGACGTGACCCACCAGACCCTTTTGAATTCTTCTTCTTTTGTCCTTTGGTAGCTTTCTTGTTTGGTGATGAGGGGGGACTCTGAGTATAAGACCGCTGACCCCGATTACCCCTGCCCCCCACGAGCCTCCCTTCCACCGACTCATCTCCAGACCCGTCTCGCCGAGACCCAACGGGAGAGTGATGCTCACAGAAAGCGGTCTTCTTCACGGAGAAGGTGGTGCCGTTAACACCTGTCTCCCGAACTGGGTCTATCTTCATGAACAAGCCAGCCTTCTGGGCGCAGGTGACGTGAAAAGCCCTGTAACAGTTGGCTTTGTGGCACTGAATGGAGGCTCCTCTGCCTTTCTGCTTACACAGGTAGCAGGTGAGCTTCCAGCGAGCGGGAGGGATGTTACTGACCCCCTCCACGGGCTCAAGGAACACCGTGTTGGCAAAGCAAACTTCTGGGATCCATATGGCACAGACAACATGGGCCCAACGCCCATCACTTGTCTGTTTGAAGGCACCTCCTCGGTTGGGACAGAGAACACAGTCTACAGGGCGGGAGGGGGACTGCAGGCAGCAGCGGCACAGCCACTGGCCCTCGGGGACGTAGGGCACACCGTAACACTCCTGGTGGACGGCCAGGTTACAGATGTCACAGAACAGGATGACGTTACTGTTCAGACATTCGTCATCCAAGCAGACGCAGCAGAATGCATCCTCGTCGACAGCATTCTGGGACAGAGCCTGGCTGCGGGACTCCAAGATGGACTCCCTCTCCAGGCGGTCGATGAGCAGCTCAAAAGTGTCCGGAGATACGGATGCATGGCCATCGGACACCCTCTTCTGGTTCACCATCTCCAGCCAGGCGAGGTCCTCCTCGTCCATGTCATACTCTGCCACGCTGTCCTGCTCCTCCCCAGATTTTTCTATGTAACGATAGTAGGCTGCCGGGAGAGGAGGCGCCTCTGTGGGCGAAACCGAACTCAGCACGCGGAAGGTCGGCTCAGGCAGAGGTGTTTGGAGGGCCGGCTGCTGAAAGGAAAAAGCCGATCCTGTGTGCTGATTAGAGCTGGAGCGCTGGTTCTGGTTTGATGTGTTTTTACCACTCCTCCTGTTTTTGCCGTTTGCGGGTTTCCTCCACGTCCTGGTTTTACTCTGTGTCTGCTCACTGTTCTCCTTGTTACTGTTGCACTCTGCAATGTCCTGGGCCATCATCTCGTCCTCTGTGATAACTGGCAGAGGATCTGTGATGTTAATCCGATGGAGTCTTCCATCTAGGTCCACTTCCACTATTTTCTGAGCCTGAGCGTATGTCAAAGTCTCCCTGGATGGAGAGAGCTGCAGTCTGTAAGGGGAGGGGGGCCGCAACTGGCCAGATGTACCCCTGCCCCTTCCTCTCCCTCTGCCTCGACCCCTACCCATGCTGAGTCTGCTAACAACTGCCTCGCATTCCCACCTCCTCGTCTTCTGCATGGGACTTTGCACTAGCGCCCTTAGAAATAGAGAAGAAAAATGTTTAATGCAACGATTGAAATTGCAGCGTCAACACTATTTGGTACCTTGTGAAATTATATGCAAAGATTTACTGTAGCTGCTGTATATTCACATTGGAGAGCATGGAAGATATAAAAGCTTAGGGGAGAAAAACAGAGTGCCTATATTAAGATTAGTGAAAACAAAAAACAACATATCACCAAATTTCTTCTACAAGCAACTTTCGCCACTCAGTAGCCACCTTGGTAACTCATTTAGGCAGCTATTTTGATACCCTAACAAGGCAAAATAGCCATTTTTTCTACTACACATTTGCAAAAATTCAAAACAACACAGCTTCCCTTAAGGATTCATCCAGAGTGCAGACACGATCCGAACGCTTTGCTGCAAAATTCAATTCAATTCAATTTTATTTATATAGCGCCAAATCACAACAACAGTCGCCTCAAGGCGCTTTATATTGTACAGTAGATTGTACAAAAAGCAAGTAGAAACGCCTGCTGCGATACAACTGAAACTATCATGAACCTCAGTTGTGCATGTACGTCAGACAATAAAACAACTGGTTGACTGCCACTTCTGCCATTACAGATTTCAAATCATCTTTGGTCCTAATTAAGCTCACTGGGTTAAGCAGGCGACCCCTTTGGCATATGGCTAATGTGGAGGCCTGGGTTCAGTTTTTGTTGTCTTCTTTCTACTATCCTACCAAATAAAGACTAAAAAGCCCCCTACCCAAAATACATATTCTTTTAATGCTCTATCTCTGTCTTATTTAGTCACTGGGATCACATTGTTTGGATTAACAATGAAAGCATTTCACATTAAAACTGTCTGTTTAATTTTATTTCTACAAGACAAGCAAAACGTTACATATAATTTTTGGCTGCAATTTTGGTCATGTGGAAGGTAATTTATGGTGCACCAATTTATGTACAGCATTACCTGTATATGGTTCAAATGGCAGTAAAGTGATTTGACTTGATGTTGCACTGTACCAATTGTGCACTAACAATGAATCCAATTTGACAGGGGCCCATTTATTTTTCTATTATTTTCATTATTATTGCACTTTTCCGATATTCGGGAATAATTTGCAAAGTTTACCGACCAATATAAAGCAACACTCAATAATCTGCTCTGCCAGGTAAAGTAGTTTTTGTATGCCTGTGGCTCTTAATGTGGTTTTGTTTATGTCACACCCAGCATTCACACATTACATATATATTTTATCACCACATTTCCAGAGTAAGAAAAATAAAGCCCCTAAAACACGTTATAAAGACATAATGAGAATATATAGGTTTTATGTATCCATTAACGTGTTTTTTTTTAAAATAATTCTGCCCTAAAAGCTTGCTTTATTCTGTTTATTGGTGTTTTCTTTTTTATTCCTGTGTAAATAATTACAGGGTAAAAGGGGGTCAGCCCGGGTGCTGTGCTCTGTAATAACACAGTAAGCACTCATGTTGCACAAACACAACTACAGTAACTTGCACTGCTTGCATCTCGCCTCTCTCACCATTGGTCAAAAGGGGAGTCCGTAACGCGAGCACAAGTCTCGCCCACCAATAAAACGCTAGCACCATGTTTTTTTTCTACCCCCTTGTTGCTGTGCCTAGTTAGGTTGAAGCGCGCTAAATACCAACCCGAGTATCTAACATCTGTCAGCCATTTTAGGCGCACAACAGCAGAGACAACGACTGTATTGCAAGTTGATTAGCAGCCCAATTATACATGCAAACAGCAGCCAGAGAGCAGGTGCACTGTATGCACCGAGTCCGAATGCATATTACATTGCATGTATGCTTTAGATCACGAGAGTGCAAACGTGCAACGTTTTCGGGTATTGCTTTGTAGTCCAGACCCCTGCAAAAAAAAAAAAAGACCGTCTCTTTGCCGATGTGATAACGTTTCTCGGTCGGACAGGACACACGGATGCCGTGTGACAGAAAGGCTGATTTTCCTATCAGTCCTGAAAGTGCCCTTTAAAAAACACACCAGAGTTGTTTACCTTGTTCAGTCGTCCTCTGCAGTGCGAGTGCCCGACAGAAAAACTGCACCAAGCTAAATGTCAGCTACTGACAGACTACAATCAAGGCAGACATGCTAGCCGTTAGCTTAGCTAGCCGGTAATTTCAGGAGCGACAGCGTCATCTTCAGCACTCCCGTTCTCCGCCGTGACTGCGCTTAAACACACAAACTCGACCCGGTTTCATTGGTGTGGTTTTAACCTTTCAAACGATAGTGGTCATCAAACTAGGGACACCGAAATCCTGAAGATATCAAATTAATGTACCTTGGATGAGGCTAAATATTCAGTCAAGATGGCTTGAAAAATACGCCCCTTTAGAAAAAAACCACCTCAGCCAATCACAGGGCGCCGCTGCACCTCGCATTCAACGCGCACCGACTTCTGATTGGTCGATGGGCTAAAGCGGACTCATCGGACTCGTTCTAGAGCTCATCATCGAAAGAAGCGGTGAGGAAAACAACCGGAAATTTATTGCGCGCCTTCTGGCCTTGTCTCCCATCTCCTCCAGACCAGCGCAGTACCCGTTTCACCACATTTTCAAAGGGGAACATGCGGGTTAGTTTGTGGAGCTCGTAGCAGAAACGATCAGTGAAGAAAACACATTGCTGCTACCATCAGGACTTTTACCTATCTATTTATTATTTTCATTTGTGATTACTCTTTTATCCTGACGGTATGGGTGTTTATGCTTGTTTGTGTGCACAACAGTGCTTTCTTCCTTTAAATGCCTAAGGCTACCTGAATATTGTTGCTTACTGATTTCTTAAACATGACAATGAGTTCGCCAAACTCCAATCACCCCCACAGTCACCAAGCCTCGAGCCAACAGAGCACCTTTAGGAGGATGAGGTGGAAGTGATGGGAGAGTCACATCGTGGCGGTACAGCTGGCAACCATACTGAAATGATAACTTCTGCTGTTGTCATGTCAATCTGGACCAAACCTTTTGAGGAACGTTTGCAGGACCTTGTTGAATCTATGTCATGAAGACTTGGCTTGAGGCACGCTCAGTCATCCATGTAAGGATATCCAGATGAACAGAATCACCTCTATGGAATTGGAATTAAGTATTGAATTAAAGCACTTGTGTAGGTAAAGTGGGGTCCAACAACAGTATGCCAAAAACTCCAACATCCAGCAACAACAGCAGGAAAATGCCTCAACATTATATTCTATAACAACAGAAAGGAGCAGAAAACACAACACACTTAGTGTTTACGAGGAGAAACTTTTTCCATCGCCTTTCTCATTGGTAGAGATCTTTTAACCGCGTGAGCATGAACACTGTGAAAAGGAGTTCCCATACCGGGAGTCGAACCCGGGCCGCCTGGGTGAAAACCAGGAATCCTAACCGCTAGACCATATGGGACTTACGTTCACGTCAGAGATGTGTGCGGATGAAAAAAAAAAGGTTAAATAAGGAGGAAACTTCTCCACAGTCCTTCGCAGTGGGTGTAGTGGATTTGTTGACAGTCACTGGCAGCTGTTACTGCTTCATTTAGACCCGTTTGGAGCGATTCTCTTGCTGCTGTGAATTTAAAATTCCGACTTTCTTTGGGAAATAAAAAAAATAAAAATAATACTACTCCATCACTGGCTAAAAGAAGGAAATTTCATTAAATTAATTTAAAGCCACGCCGATACTTTTTGTGCACACAACGGCAACCCAACGGACCGTCTTCATGACAACCGAGCGAGCTCCACCCACTGCAGATGTAGACTGACGTTTGGCAGCTCTGAATAGATTTGTGTTTGTCACATGTGTAGTTTCAAGACCATATCCGCACGAAAGAAAACACAAAGCCTCTTGCATGGGTTATTTTTATTTTATTTTTACATTTTATTTCCCACTGACCCTTTCTGCATGTCTCTATGGGCTTCTTTCATTTCTCTAATGTGTACCTCCTGGTCTACTCTGACCTGACCTGACCTAGAAGGTCATGTTGAAAGGACAGAGGAGACTTGATCAAGTATGCATGGGTGTGTCCTCCGGGGGAACATAAAGCCTTTAAAGCGCATTTGTGTGCTTCTGTTATAGCCACTTCCTGTTTTCTGTTGGTTATCACAGTTGCTATAGTGAGATTTTTTTTCTTCATTTGCTTCCTGTCTTTGTTTTTGATCTTTTTTGCCATCCTCATCAGTTTCCCCTGCCATCATCTTCTTAATTCTTTGTGTGCCCCCAATCGGTTTCCCAGTTTTTACCAATTGCTCATTTTCTTTGCTGGTGTTCCTCATGCCATCTCAATTTTTGGTTGGTTTACTTTGTTGGACCTCTTCACTACCAGCATCCCGCAGCTAGCCCATTTTATTCATTTCAGTAAATACCCTTAAACATCAAATCCTCACACCCCACTCTTAGATTGGGCACTTTCCCTAAACTTTCTGACCTTACATCCTCCTTCTGATGCCACATTTGATTTTATTCATACAAATTATTGATGCTGCCATCAGCTGAGTGGACAAAACCCAATTCTATAAGCATGATTACAGCTAAAATTTTGATCTTCTGGTCCTGGATTTGAATCCAGTCTAGGCAGCTTGTATGTTTTCAGTGTGTCTGAGTGGGGGGTTTTTTCTTTCCCATGTACTTTGGCTTCCTCCCACAACTTAAAAGCATGCATCGGGCTAGTTTTATTTGTGATTCTTATCAAACTGTAGGCTTGAATAGTTGTCTATGTATTAGTCTATGTAAAATGGGGAAAAGTTGTCTCGGTATAAGAAGGAAACAAATCCTAATAGCACTCTGGAGAAAACCACCACACTCACAGGAAATAAGCAATACATTTTTTTTACAATTCCGGTCCACAGTCCATGGCCTAAGAACATGGTCTGAGTTTTCAGCTTGGTCATAGACAGGAAAAGATGGTCACTCAACGAAATAAGCAGTCAATCATATGTTAATTTTGTAGCTTCCTAAAAGAGTTTCCACCCACCTTCCACTTAAAAAAGCTTTGTGTTGGTGGGAGTGAGTTTCTACATCAAGTCCTGGGAATGCCACTTTCAATCTCTTGGTCTTAGTGCTTCCATCAGGTTGGTCACCTACTAATTGTGCAGTAGGCTTTTCCTCCTTTGACTCTCATAATACATAAGTTGCTAGCATCAGTTCCCAGTCCAGTTTTTTCTTAAAAACTCCACATATTCCCTTAAAAATGGATCTTCCTTCCACTAAAAAAGAACCGGCCAGTCCAGGGTAAAACCATTTGCATTAAAGGTATGCTTTTTCCCATACAACTAATTCAACCAGCTCCTCATGTGATCTCCAGCACCTTTGTTTCCTGCCTCTCCACACCAGAGTTTCCCCCTTTCTGTCCTCATCGAAAAGGGCTCCAAACCCACACTAACAGTATTCAACTTCAAATAGCTGGCAGCTAGACAAGAGGGGAACCTCCCACGTGGATGTGGCTAAAGTCCACACATCAAATAAATAAATAAAAACATGCAAAAGAAGAAGAATAGTCCTAAGCCAATAGCTGGCAGAAGATCCTCATAATGATTCCACTGTGCCACATTCTACAATGTTACAACATTAGCCCTGCAACAGAAGAGTGACCTGTAGATGGTTTAGTGGGACAGGTTTTTAGGAAAAGGTAGTTCAATCATATTTCAGTCCTGCTTAAATCAGCAATGATTTATTTACTTTATTACTTTAATTTATTACTCTTTCTGCATAAGATGAAAGATGAGATAGATTGATTATATAATCACTGGCTTACTCACTTCTTTAGGTCTGTTCTACATTTTGAAGCTACAAGACACCCACTGAAAACACACATACATACTGATTCAATAGAAGAACAAATTCATATAGACAGTTTAGCATCATTCCTTTATTTATTTATTTATTTTTAACATCATGTGTATTTATTAAGTAACCAGTTCCTACTGCAAAACTGAAAAAAATAATTGCAGTTCGGCTGCTAGGAAGCCTCTTAGTTCATATTTTAATAAATGTTTTAAGACTGTGTACATTTTCAGAATTCAGATTCATTTGGGTGTAAATAAAACTTTAACTTCTTGGTTTTCCATTAATAATTCAACCATACTGTAAGAAACATGCAGTCAATCAGAAATACAAACCTGAAGAGGGGGAACAGGTCAAACACTGGTTTTAGAGCTGCAAGGAAAAAACAGTCTCTCACTCCATATTACCTTTAGCACTGTTTCATTTGCACTATTTCAAAGGCTTTCTTAGCAATTTGACACTTCACAGAGCTTCAGATGTCTCTCCAAGGGCAGTGAACACTGTCCAATAAAGCCTTGTTTATGTTCTCTGAGAGAAAACCTTATTTTATCTTCTTTCTGTGTACTGCAACCCTTTGATCGACATGGTCTCATTTCACCAGAGAGTGTAACACTGCAAAAAGTCATATTTTGACTCTTTCCCCACTGAGTGTTTTGTGTTTTGTGCATATGTAACATCAGCATCTCCAATAACCAGTCAAATATGCCCTAGCTTTCGCTCTTTCTACAATTACTTTTACGATGAGAGAAATCTTGCTTCAAATGCCCAGCATGCAATTTAAGTATCATGCAACTTATGGGGGCTCAGCTTAACTATAATGCAACCTCCTGTGAATCAGATTATGTTTATTTGCATAATCTGTTTAGTCATCATTAGAATGAATCACATTTTAATTCACACTGGAAGCTATATGTTTGAACATTATGCTGCTTGTCTCCACCCCCTTAAAATAATTACTCCACATTCTCCACCCACAAAGTCTTGGTTGGCTATCTCTTGTTTCACTGCAATCTGAAAAACGCCAGTTCACAGTGAATCACAGTCGAGCGCTGGCTACTGTCAGGGTCAGTTCGAAGCTGACGTGCTGTCAAATCCTGGACTCTTTTCAGGTTAGTTTTTAAGCTTTTTTATTGCTTTGATTGCTTTGTTTTTTGCTTTTGTGTTATAAAGTTGATGCATCTCTTCTATGCATGCTCCTTAAACTACTACTACTCTCCTAATAATTTGTAGGTTGCAAGTCTAGATTAAGAGAGATGATGCTGCTTGGATTGTTTTTGCTGTCCTTTGGATTTCTCCTGGACAGGGGCACATGTACTGCAAGTAAGAGACTGTTTATTTATTTAGATCACATCTATGCATAAAAGATAAGGATGGATGGATGGATGGATGGATGGATGGATGGATGGA